CAACGCGACAGATTTGTGAACAGAATTTGCCATATTTCGTTGTGGCTTGAAAAATAAAAGCACCTGCCATGTAGACAAATTATTTTAGATGCAGCACTGGAGGAGGGGATTGTTAACCTTTCCCTCTATGTTGCCTTCATGACTGCAACCCACCTGAAGACCGTAATTTGCCCCACGGGGACAACATTTACAGCATGTACAAGGGATGCATACAAGCCCTAAAATGTGCCTTGTATCCAGGCATTCTGAAAAAAAACCTAACATAGCTGTTTCTGAGTTCCTCTGTGAAGTTGTTGAGTGGTGTATATTCTTGATCGCATAATAATAATAATAGTAATAATAACTGCAGCTTTATGCCAGCCTCTTTCTGGTGATTGTTTGTGTCATCCAACAGTCCTTTACAGGCTTCCAAAGAACCTTGCAATGTAAGTCTTTCTAGAATACTTCTTGCAGAGTTCTGAAGAGCTCTGGGTTTGTTTTTAAATGAATATTTTAATATTTTTAAAAACTCAACCACAACTGTGCTTTGGCAAAAGAACATCCAGAGCTCTTCAGCACTCCACAGGCAAGATTTTAGACAGTCTCATTTCTTGGAAAGCCCATGAATCTAGAAAAACAGATACTATACAGAAAAATATACAGGGATATATGGCACAGAGAAGCACCAAAACAAAGCATGAGGCTATGTGGAGGACCTGATCCAACCTGGAAGTGTTATCTACATCACACTTCAATTCAGAAGGGGGAAGCTCCAGATCAACCTGATTCAACTCACTATTCGGTCTACATACAGAGCCATGAATACTTGTGGTATGATGCCTGGTTATGAGAGAAGATTTTAGTCAACGTCCCTTAAAAACGATGGGACCTTCAGATGTCTTCTAAAAGTCAGATGGTTACTTATTTCCTTGACATCTGATGGGAGAGCGTTCCACAGGGTGTGATGACACCCACTTACACATTGGAACCCCCTCTCCTCCTCCATGCACCCCTAAATCTGTTGTGGGGGTTCCACCAACCCTCTGGAGCACATTTGGGGGTGGTATGAGCATGTGGAGGTGGGAGAGGGTTCCATTGCACAAGCAGATGTTGTTCCACTTGTGCACTTCCCAGTTAGGCACCCGAGGACCCCTGGGGATCCGCGGAATGCAGGGAGTCCACCGTCCCATCCCATGCCTCCTCCCAACTGTATTTTTGTCATTTTTGCATGGTAATATCATGATGTTTAGCTGCTGATAGATCACAATGTTGAAAACCAGATATCGCTCAGCCCTAGTCTGTTTTTTTGGTATATCTAAAATCCTTTGCTTATTAAGGGCTACCCCACATTTTATTCCAAAAATTGCTTTGCAGAGATAACTATGATAGATTCAGGTAGGTAGCAGTGTTGGTCTGCCACTGTAGAAATATATTTTTTAAAAAATTAAAAAATTAAAAATATAAAAATTCCATATATATATATATATATTTCAACTATGATAGAGTTATCAAAATTTTCAAAAGTAGGGGGTCCGTAGCTTGGCTTTTGAAAAATAGGGGGTCCTCAGTAATTAGCTAATTGGGAACCACTGATTTAGTTGGAAACTGCCCAGGGTCTTCCATTGTCACACTGAGTTTGAACCTCAATGGCAGATAAAGAAAATATATTTAATGTAGATCAGCTTAGAGGGGGTAGTTTCAGGAAGTGAGCTTCCAACTGCTACTCCTGTCCCCAGAGAGGCTTGCCTGGCACCTTTCTTATGGTATGTTTGGTGCCAGGTGAAGAGCTTTCAATTTTCCTAGGCATTTAAAATCTTATTTAAAATCTTAAAATCTGATTTTATTTATTCATTCCACTGATGACATGGACATTTTTAATGCTACAGTTGCTTGCATCGTATTTTTCATATTGCAGTTTAACTTTGTGAGGACCCAGAGAATTATTAGCAGGCAGCCAATATAAATAATGTGAGACACACCTCAATCTTCAAGCAGTAAGAGCTCTTGGGGGTCTCAGTGGATATGTTGAGAATGGTTTCCTGGGAATGAAGGTCACTGGTGGCTTCTGGTGTCTTTGCAAGACATGAGCCTTACACTTTCCATGACAATGACTGTCTTGGAACAGACCCATACACAGACCCACACCTTGAGGATATCAGCTCCAGCAAGGAGAGGAGGAAAGGCCTGCCTTGCAGGGGCATAGGAAGAGGGGGTGGTGGGGGCGGTCCACCCCGGATGCCATCTCTGAGGGGAGTGACAAAAAGGCACAACGCTAGGGGCTCGCGTTGCTGCCCCTGAGCTCGGCAGCGCAAGCCACCACCACGTGCGGAGGATCGCCGCAGCCATGTGCGCAGGATCGCACTGCCACTACTGTGGCAGCTGCATGCACAGGATCACCCTACCACTGCTGCAAGCATGCGCAGAGGATTGCTCTGCCCCCCACATGGCGGATCACCCCCCCGGTGCATGACATTGTTAAGGATTCCTGCTCTGTGATTGCAGTCATGGGATTGTCTACCACATGACGGTGTATGTTTTCATTCCACAGGGTGTTTGTGTTACTGTGTTCCGTGAAGTGGGACTATTGTCCTTTGTTCTTTTCTCTCTTTTTGCTGTCTGATGAGAAAGAGGGAGGAGCCAAGTCAGAATGCTCCAAGTATATTATATGTAAATAAAGTAGATTAGCCAAAATGCTGTGCTATTGGTTCTGTTATGCAAACTGCGAATACTCTGCAGATCCCTAAGTGTGCTAATGCCTTTCAGCATCAGTCGCTGCGATGTTCGGGCAGAAGAATGCTTTTGAAGCTCCCAAACGATTGACCAGGAAGGAAAGAACATGTCAGCCGAGCATGTGTCTCTGCCAGGGTCCTACATGAGAGTAGGACGCTCCTAACAGGCATGGCCGCCACTCTGGGCGCCCATGCAGCTAACTCCGCCACTGCTGCCTTGACCCAACCTGCCACTGCAATCAGGTCATATTCTTCACCTAGTAGTTTCTATGGAACACTTTGATCCAAGCTTAAAATAACAAAAGAGATACTTAACAGACATGGCTAGAGCAATTACTTTAAAACAAGCAGACTGGACTGAACGCTGAAGTAGTTTGTTGTTGTTTTTTTACAGAAACATACCCCACAGATATAAAATCACAGGATTCAAAGGAAACCCACAGCTGGCATCTAAACCACTTCCCCCAAGTCTATAGCAACACAGAAATAATAAATACCACCATTATATTCAGGAGGCGAGAAAGTCTAATGAGCCAATGAACAGCACAAACAGGGATTTTTCTTCCACCAACAGCAGTGTCACACACAGGTAGGCCACCACTAGGAAGCTAGCATTCCCATAACAAGGACTATAGTTTGTTTTTCATTAGAACCTATGAAGCACAAAAAGCACTGTGATCCAGATGCAGGCTCAAATGTTTGATGAGCCTTGCAGCACAATCCTGTTCATGTCTACTCAGTAGTCCTCAGTTGGATTTACTTCCACGTATGTATAGAGAGGCTGATGAGGCTTCCATTGGACTGAAAGATAAACTTACACATTTCAAAATTAAAATCAAATAATCCCCCATAATGTTGGTCTCTTTCTCTTTGCCTTATTTTAGAATTTCTTAACATATATATATTTCCCGCTTTTTCTCTTTCCATCCATAACCTTCACCATTCTCTCCTCCCTCCCTCTCTAAATAATAATTAAATTTATAATCAGAATCCTGATCAGAGGCTCGTTTTAGTCTTATGCATAGCACTTAAAAGACATTATGCTTTATATTTGTTCAAGATCATTGTTGATATTGTATTTTATATTACTGGTAAAAAATTAATGTTTAGATACTGATGGATATGGTACTTTATGTATTTCCAAAAAAAAAATCAAGTGCTTGCAGGACTGACCTTCAGTTTATGGTTTGGTATACTCAAAACCACTCAGGGTTTTTTCTCAGCCCCAAGAGAACAATGTCAATGCTAAGAAGGAACTCAAATGATTATGTGCCAAGGTGGCACAGTCCTCAAACATAAGAGTACCTTATTCAGTTTCCATGTAAGGAAAGGATATTCGAAAGAGCTCCCACATGACCAACTAGTCAACGTATAGAATCTGACATACTCTCTGAGGAGCTGAGCTGTGATGCAGGTTGTGGCATTCAGAAGAGGGCAGTCACGTGTGAGGAACATACTATCTTCAACATTTGAATTAGCCCTGACACACAAGCAGGACACACAAATTCAGTACTGGTTCAGGCCACTATCTACAGTTTTTCCAGCACAAGCCTGATGTGTAATGGAACAGTTTTGTGGGGAAATAGGATTAAATATGTCAGAGTTGTCTACAGCCACCTGAAGTCTTGCTATTTCTTTGAATTAGCTAGTGCTATATTCACCCATTTTATGCAATGGAACTAAAATAAAGTATACAGAATGTGAGTAAATGGCTTTAAAAAAGTAACTCATCTGCCCCATTTTTCTGCATCAAGTAATACTTGTAAACTGTTTGAGTTTTTTCTCTTAAAACGTTAAGCAGTGTACAAATTACCTACATAAAATGAAAATGAAATTAAAGCCTGAATATTGACAGCTCACTTAGCATTAACTTCTCGGCACGCCTATATGAACGTTTTTGAAAATGCTTTAGATTTGAGGTATACCGGTATTTCTCTCTTTAGAGAAGAAAAAAAAATCAAACCAAGCCCCACCCCACTTCTAGATCTACATTTTACTATTTGAGCAGTCATCTCTTGTTGCTGCAGTAAATGGCATTATAACTCCACGGGACACGTGCAAACTTGTGACCGTGACCCAACAGAAATAAACCCCCAACGTTCATTGTCTTCTCTTCGGGAGAAACGCGGCGCAGAAATCAACGTCAGCTGTGTATTCCGAGCAGTTCCCTCGCCGTCAGAGAAACTGCAGCCGCTCCCCGCTTGCAAGTCGAGGGCTGTCCCTTGCCTAGGTGAGCTCCTTGGCAGCCATTCGGGGGCGATGTGCTGCCCGCCGCGCCCCACCTGCTGCAGGATGCTGGGGCGAGGCCCCCCCGGCGGCGGCTGCTGCAGCCCCCCAGCCCTGCCTTCCTCCGGGCTCCCCCCGCCGCCCTTCCCGCGCCGCTCACCATTCAGGACGCTCTGGAGCAAGACGGCGGCCAGCATCCACATGCCCCTGCTCCTCGCCAGCCTGGCCGCGACGGGCTCGCTCGCCTCTCTCTCGGCCGCCTCTCCCGCGGCCAGCGGGCCAAGCAGCAGCTCCGTCCAGCTCCGGGGGCCGCTCCCACCAGGAAGGAGGGCGAGGGCGGCCAAGAGGCGCCGCCGCTGCCCGCTGCTCTCCTTCAGCGCCTCGCCCCGCTGCTCCCACCGGCGGCCAGCTCAGGTGCGCCCGGCGCAGCCCCGCCACGCGCCCGCCGCCACCGCCGCAGCTTCGCCCCAGCAGGTCCACAGGTGGAAGAAGGAGCACGACGCAGCCCGGCAGCAGCAGCAGCAGCAACAGCAGCAGCAGCGCAAGGACAGCAGCAGCCCACCCTGCCCGGTCATATCCGGCCCGGGCTCCGCAGGACGAAGGCAGGCAGGCTCCCGACGCGCGCCCCGCTTCAGCCACCGCTGCCACAGCCCGGCAGCGAGCAGGCAGGCAGGCGCATCTTCGCTCTCCTCCCGCTGCAATCGCACTGATCCCTCGCCTAACCTTGGCTGCCTCCGAGCGGAGCGCACGAAAGGGTTAAGCCTCTCGCCAGCCAGCCAGCCAGCCAGCCGGCCGCCTCCCTCCGCCGCAGCCCTCGCTGGGCTCCTCTTAAAGCGGCGGCCCCAGGGCAGCCGAGACGCAGCCAAGGAGGGGGAACAGGAACGGCGAGAGAGCCACGGATCGCGTCCCTACTTTGGAAACCTGGGTTTCCTGGCGTTTGGGAAAGTAGCGGGATTTAAAGTAGAAATAGCAGCTCTTGGAGGTGCGAGTAAGAGAAGAAATGACGAGCGGATCGGGAAAAGGAACTATAATATGGTCCTATATGTGTCCTGATAGAACAAGGATAGAAATTTAAATGATAGGGAAATGCATGAGTATAGCCAGGACTTTTATGGGGGGTGGGGCAGGCTTTATATTACGGGGCGGGGAGGCAGAACCCAGTTATCTGTGACGCAATTGGCCAGTTAGTTAAGTATTTTTATTTATATACTTCTTCGGGGGGGGCAGCTGCTCCTCTGCACCCCCCCCCCGCTACTCCCATGGGGGAATGTGGCATACCCAGGATTTGGAGTCCTCTTATCTCAGATATTTGGTATATGAGGGATATAAAGAGTTTGGATGCTTCACAAGAAATAGCACTGAACAGAAATGTGTGAATGAAATATTTTGTCGCAACACCCTTTTAATATGAGCACATGGCCAGGTCCAGACTACAAGAGAGTGCCTGTTCCTTTAAGAGTTAAATAGACTGGGAAATGGTCGCCTCATCACAGTGCAAAGGTCGGGTGGGAAGGGAAGGGGCAAAATCTTCATAGGCTATGGCAGGGACATCCAACTCCCAATAGACTGCATCTACTCACAGTATAAAAAAACTGGCAGTGATCTACCCATTGTCATTGGATGGAACACAGTTGTTGAGCCTTTTTGGGAAAGCCAAAGTTTTTTGGGGGGAGCCAGAGTTTGTTGAGCATTTTTTTTTAGGAAGACAAAGTTGTTGAGCTTTCTTTTCTTTATTTCGGTGGGGGGGGGAGGAGATCACTAAGGGGCCAAATATCCACCAGGATCTACCAGAAACACCCCGTGATCTACCAGTAGATCGCGATCTACCTGTTGGACATGCCTGGGCTATGGGATTTCCAATCCTAATTGGATGCAACCCTGAGTGTGAATTGGTTTCACTCAGCCAAAACAAAAATTTCCAGATCTTGGCAAAAGTCATTTCAGGTTTGGACATAAAAATTAACAAGTTTAAAACAAAAAACAGCAACAACAATAAGGTCAAATTATTTTCGTTCTTGCTTATTCAAGATTAGATGGCCATCTACCACCAAAGAATCAAACAGCCTTGATGTATTTTTCATTAAGAACATGAACCAACTGTCAGAGGATGTATGTAATTTAAGTTGCAGTTCTCTGCACATTTATCTGGAGATTACACCTGAGTAGGTTTCAGCCTGTAAGTACCCTCCCCAAAGGGGCTTTGCTTGATTTTCTTCAAGCCATGACTATCTAGATAGGGCCCAGAACATACTCAGCCAACCCAGGGGGACAGCAGGTTGACAGCAGAGGTGATGGACCTGTGTCCTTCCAGATGTTGTTGGACTCCCCACTCCCATCGGTCCCAGCCGGGATGGCCAATAGTCAGAGATGATGGGAGTTATGTTCCAGCTATATGTGGAGGACCATAGGTTCCCCATCCCTGGCTTACAGGAGCATAGCTGTTTTAAACCATGACAGATAGTTTGACCACCATCATTTGCTCTGGCAGGCAATGGCACTCCAGCAGAACATGACAGACCTACTGGATCAGGCCAGTGGCCCATCTAGTCTCTCATCTAATTCTCACAGTGACAGCCAGGGGCAAAGGAAGGGGGATGCAGTGGGTGCGGACCGCCCCAGGTGTCTTCACTGAGAGGGTGACATTTGGTGCACCGCCCATGACTCCCAAGCCTACCCCAAGCCATCGGGGGAAGGGGGAGAGCTGTGCCACTTTGTCGGCAGCATTCCCCCCTTCCCCCATCATTTTGACAGCTCGGGGGAGGCTTGGGAGTTGTGGGTGGGCAGCGTGCCTAATGTCCGCCATCGGCGGCTCACCCCACCCCCGCTGCAGGGTGCGCACGCTGCTCCATGCACCTGAGTGGCTATCCTGCGACTGGGAGGGCACCCTATGCCCCCCACCCCCCTTGGGAGCACGCCCACCCTGGGCAGCACAGGCATATGATCCACCGCTGGTTCTGCCCCCCCTAACAAATATCCTGTCTACGCCCATGCAGTTCTCCCCACCTTGCATACATAGAGCCAGTGTGGTGTCGTGGTTAAGAGCGGTAGACTCGTAATCTGGTGAACCGGGTTCGCGTCTCCACTCCTCCACATGCAGCTGCTGGGTGACCTTGGGCTAGTCACACTTCTCTGAAGTCTCTCAGCCCCTAACAACAACTTCTTCTTCTTCTTCTTCTTCTTCTTCTTCTTCTTCTTCTTCTTCTTCTTCTTCTTCTTCCTCCTCCTCCTCCTCTGCATTCTCCACTTCGAAGAAGCAAGAGGAGCAAAACGTTCCAAAATATTAAGGACAGATTATCATGGGAAAACTAAGGATGTGGCTAGTTTCACCTTTTTTGCCCTAGTTCAGCTGGATGCCATTAAAGAACAGTTCAGTCAACATGCTTAGTGTGAACCAGTAGGCCAGTTCACACTATCAGCTCACCATCAGCATCTTGGGAGTGTTCAGGTGGAATTGCCACCACAGCAATTCCATGGAAATGCCGCTTCTGAGAACCATCATCTTTATGTGTGGACAATGGATACATCTGGTTACTAGAATGACTAGGCCGTGCCTACATACATGAACAAAGCAGCATATTTTATTTCAGATGTGAATTACACTTGAAAAATCTTAGATGTTAGTCATTTATAAATTCACTTGCTCTGAAACCCCTTTATCAACCTCATGCCACTTCCTTGCTCCAAAAATGTCTAGGTAATTGAAAATGTCAGTCATTACACTTTTCTGCTCTCTGAGTGTTCATTGTTATGCTGATATTTTCAGAGAGTCGGGTTATCAAGGGTGTTGCAGAAGATTTCTAACTTTATTTCATTCTGTGTGGAGGACGGTGACAGGTACTCTGCTACCCTGCAGATGTATAAAATCATGGGAAATTTCTAAGCTGCTGAAATGTGTTATGCCATTTGTAGCTGGGAAATTCTTGCTTGCTTTAGATCTGCATGTCTTGGGGGAAGATTACACGATCATCTCCTCTCTCCTATATCTACATAGTGATATATATAGTTATGTGAGGCTCTTCTCCAGGTGAATGATGACAGGTCACTACTAGAGAGCAGGCCTGTTCAGTGGTGGTGCCCCCATTATGGGATGTCCTTCTCTGAGGGGCTCACCTGATATCTACACTGCAGTCTCTTCAGCACCTACTAAAGACCTTTTTAATTTACCCAAGATTTTACATTTTTCCTCTTCAGTTTCCAGCACTGCCATGAGTTAACCATATTGATTTTACTCTATGTTGATAGTTTTAGGATGTGTTAGATTTTGTTGTTTGTTTTTGGGGTTGTGTTTTTGTTTTGTTTTGTTTTGTTGGGTATATTTAATGGTTTCAAATTTTTATTGTAAGTCTCCCAGGTAACTTTTTGTTACTGGGTAGCCTAAAAATGTAGTGAGGAAGTTCTGTTGAATATTGATGGGGAAAAGGAATTGTTCGGTCAAACTAGGTGTTCATGAGGCTGAGGAGCAGGAATAGGAAGCCTGTGGCCCTGCAGAGGATGTGGAACTCCACCTCCAATGGTCAGAGTTGGGAGATGGAGTTGGATCATATGGTGGATCATCCCTGTTGTCCAGCTTGCTAGAATTTCAGGGAGTTGGTCGGTACAAACATCAGTAATATTCAGGGAAGACCCTACTGTTGGGCAGAGGGAGATGGTTGCCTCAGGCAGTTGATGCTGAGGGTCATGAAAGGGCAGGAAATTGTTAGCTATTTAATTTATTATGGTAAGTCACTTAAGTGTGATTCTTGTTACGCTGGCAGAACATTGTTGTGCAAGGGAAAACATCAAGAATTGTTGTGCAAATTGAATAGGGCTATGCAGAGAGGGGTGTAATTTGCTTCTCTGCCTCAGGCGGCAGAATGTCAGGGACCGGCCTTGAGAATTTTCATGACTGTTCAAAATATAAAGGAAATGTTTGTGTTTGACTGACATGCAGAATGCTGCTTAATAACCTCTGCTGCTGGGGATTTGTGGCAGCAGGCAAAGTGTCTCCTTTGTTTATATTCTTTTGTTCAGTTTGCCTCCCTACCTTGTTCTGCAGACAGCAAAGTCAAGGTCTTAAAAAAAGAAAACTGGTCAGGTTACACATGTAAGTTACACATTTTGGTCTCTGATATGCTGCATCTGCAAGGCTCTACTCCCCAGGTTCTCTCCGCACTCATAATTGCTCAGTAAAATTTGCTTCAGCAACAGAATTGAGAATTTAAATTATTTATCATTTCAAGAGTTTCCCCAAGTCTCCTGACTAGCTTAAAAAACCTGAGGATTAACTCTCAAGTTATTATTGATTTCATAATATTTCCAGTTGAGGCCTTACTCCAAGTAAGAAGATATTACACAAGCCTCCACATGTCTACTTAGGTGTAAGTCTCATTTACCGTAGTTCAAATGAACTGACTGACAGGTAAGTGTGTAGAAGATGGGAGCCTTAAAAATGTATTGGTTTATAAATCAAGGTCAGGTTTTATTATTAATAGTCCCTTTGAAACAGATTCTGCAAAATAGCAGAGTTAGTGGCTACTCTGCTGGAGTCTTAATGGGTCATTAAGGAAAACCAGTCATTAACTGCTGGTATAAGCTTCCACATAGATAGATTAAGGTAATCTAATGTCTTTTTTTTAGGTGCCTGGTTTTAATATTTTTAAAAATTAGCTTCAGAAAGCAAAAAAGATTGCATATCATATAACAGCACAGATCATTCTATCTCTTTACTACAGATTTGAATTTGTCTTTTACGGTGCAATCCTATACATGTCTACTCAGCAGGAATTCAGTGGAACTTACCTCCAGATAAGTGGGTACAGGATTACGGCCTTCTTGTACTTCAAGTTTTGTTCTTCTTCAGTACAATTATTTCACTTTTGAATAAGCCAGGGTTACTTCTAGATGACTCCGTCTCCAACCTGTTTAATAAACAATTTCAGCTTTTATTTTGTAAAACCCTTTTACAATTCATAAGACAAATTAAGATCGAGTAGCATCATTTTTCCTGTCCACTGATTTATACGCTAAGATATGACAGAGAAGGAAAAGGTATTGGGAGGGAGGAGGGGAAAAGCAAAAATCAGGTATTAATTCTTAGTCACAAAGAAGGTCTTATAAAGGCCATCTAGAACAGAAAGCCAAAAATTGCTCATCTTAAAGCAGAGCCAACTGAGTGACCCTGCTTCCCTTCACTCTCTTTGCTGCACTTTGATGGAATGACTGCCACTGCGAGGCAACATTTGATGGAGGAAGAAGCCTGGTGGAGTTGACATTTCAGCAGAGCTTATGGATTGCCCTGCTTCCCGATTGTCCCTTGCTGCATCCTGATGGAATGGCTTTTGCAAGTTGAGGGACAGCCAATGGACCACCTGGTCTTTCAAATGTTATGAAATTTCTGTTTTTTCCCCCCTTATCTGGGGGTGGGAAATGCCAGATCCATTCTGTTCAGGACAAATGTGGGTGAACAAGCCCAAACAGCACAACCATTGTTGGTTGCCCTGAGGTAGCTAGGGTTCTCCATAAGTCATTCTCCTTACACAGGTTTCCTGGACAGACACGGGCTGCATTCTAGGTGTTGGGTTCCAGGGACAGGCTAGGAATTGTCCTGGTATACTATTCCCCTAATTGCCCAGTGGATACCCTAAGTGAACTGTCAGAGCTGGTCATGAGCCTGGTGCTGGAGTCTACTATGCTTTGTGTTGCTTAGAGACTTCACTATCTATACCAGTTCAGATGGCCTTCATCATAATCAAGGGTAGGATTCTGATGATCTGGTTTGAATACTAAGCCATTGTCATGATCAGGTCATTTAGACATATGTGAACCATACTGTACCTCCCTGCCAAAGTGGGAGACCAGTATGGCTAGTGTTGTCCCTGGAGGTTAATGGATCTGCTTGGTTTGCAGAATAATTTTGTGGGTTTAGGAGGTAGCAATGATTACTCTGTTGCCATGTGCGATAATAAGTAGACCACACTGTCAGGCAACAAAGCATCCCCCCATCCCTGCAATTAGGAACATCAATTAGTTCAGTGACCTTTTCATAAACCAAATGTCCCCTTTTTAGAGCTCCATTGACTTCCAATGAGTGACTTACATAGTCTCTGTGTGCAGTTCAACATTGGATTATAAATTTGTGGTAGCCATTGATTTCTTAATGGTTTTTACTATAAAGTGCAACTAGTAGGATTCCTATATGTCGGATCTATCAGAGCACATCAGCATCTGAAAGTAACTAGACATGCAGAAGAAAATAGACCTTTTTTAAAAATAAAAAGTCATAAAATTGATAGCTCACACTGCCAGTCAATGTGCCTTATCCCAGACAAAGCTATTAAGCAACTGTGATTTACATGGCAGCAACAACATCTGCAAACTGGGAAAAAATTAATAAATCAGTGCTAAGTGCTTTAGATTACATCCTCTGTTGTGTAATGTGTGCATGAAATTAATGTTTTTAGGAATGTCATATAGTTGCAGGACAGTGAAATTTATGTTGCCTCTGTAAGACTACAGTTGAACTGTCCACCTCAATCCTAAATACATTTATTGGATTTTAATGGGACATACATCTTCCAAGTAAATTTGCTTTGGATGGCAGCCCAAGACTACTGAAGTGATAATATTGCTTGTATTCTAGCTATTTCAGGGCAAGGGGGAGCACATGTGAACATCATGTGCCTGATATTATTATAACAACTCAGTACATTCCATTTTTGAGAATCCCCATCTGTCAAATGTTATCATATGTTACATCTTTAGAGCTCTCCCAAACCATCTTGTACTCTAAAACTCTCCATAGCAATGAATCATGAAAAGGCTGTACTGTTTTTGTACCTTATTAATTAAAACATTTACAGCTTGAGCTGTATTTATTTTTGACTAGCAAATGCTCTGCAAACTGTTAACTAACTAATCAGCTGTAAGATAAAGATGAGTCTTCAGGAGGAGAAAGCTGGGCTTTGGGCACAATCATGGGAGAAGTGTGCCAGACGATGCTCTACAACATGGATAGGCAAACTGAGGCCCGGGGACTGGATCCGGTCCAATCGCCGCCTCAATCCGCCCCACGGATGGTCCAGGAATCAGCATGTTTTTACAGGAGTAGAATATGTCTTTTTATTTAAAATGCGTCTCTGGGTTATTTGTGAAGCATAGGAATTCGTTCATTTTCCACCCCCACCCCCCAAAATATAGTCCATCCCCCCCACAAGGTCTGAGGGACAGTAGACCAGCTCCCTGCTGAAAAAGTTTGCTGACCCCTGCTCTACAGAGATGAGCCAGAGTGAAACAACAGGTCTCTCGCATTCATTTCAAAGGGGCTTGTAGAACTAATTGCCCCTCAAGATCTGGGGACTGGGTATAAGTGATTTAGCAGAAAACAATAAAGACCTTTGAAAATCATAGATCCCATAGGTTCACTTGAATTCCTTAACTGAAAAAGCATTTTATGATCTAAAAGAAAAAAGAAAAATACTTCAGTCTGACTCCCCATTTCAATATCAGACGGGGTGCTTCCAAACATGGATTATTTAGCTATTCTGCTTTAAGCTTCAAATGGAACAGCAATTCTGCTTCCAGAACTCTGGTATTTAAATAGAATTATATAGCCGCTTTCCTCCGCTCCAAATGTGTTGGGAAGGTGTTAATATCCACATGAATCAGTCATTGTGCCCCCATCCACTTTTCACTGTATAAAAGCTTCAGTTCTTTATCTCAGGTCAGAATCATGAATAGCAACACTGCATGTGACTAACTCTGGGGTGGAGGTGAGGCACAGAGATGTAAAAGAAAAATGGGAGAAGTGGAAACATCTCTGTCCCTCTTAGTACAGACAGCTACATGAACTTCAATGAACCTCATTTTATTGACCTTCTGCATGGGCACAAATAATAAATATAATAGATTAATGGAACGTGTTCAGAAAACTGACATCTAGTCACATTGTTGAACTGGCCAAAGCATTTTATTTTATGGCATTTAGTAATTATGTTTAATAACAGAGGAGCTTTCCATTCTCATCAAGTGGATTTATGCTCCAATCTGTTCATCTAGCCTTCACTGAGCACAAGGGGTGCTTGAAGATCCAGTTCGGGTTTATCTGTGGAACATCCGTTGATTAACTTCCAATTTATTTTCATACTTTTCCCACTGTTTCTTCTTTACTACAGCTGAAATTAATTTCATAATGGCTGGAAGATAATGACCTTTCGCTATCCACTCATCAGTCCCTTCAAGTCAGATAAGGCATAGTGTGATACATGTGTTATTGGTGACAAACCTTGGCATTATTTTATGGCTTCCACTATTTCATTGTTACAGCTGACAATGCAATTATATATAGTTGATGATTTGCTTTGTGTTGCCTGGAAATATCTGCTTCAGATGGTACACATAACCTAACAGCAATAACGGCGAGCACTCTTCTTGGTTTTTGATGACACAATTCTTAACACAAGTGAAGCCTTTTGTCATAGGATTTGACTAGCTAAATTAAAAAATGCTATTGTTACTATTGTTGGTTATTTGAAATGTTTATACACCTACCTTCATTATCAAATTCCAGGGCAGTTTACAAATTATATTAAAACACCAGTAAATCAAGTCATCAATTCAGCAACCACAGCAGAATTTTTTTAAAGCATATTACTATAAGATCGCTTGTTGAAAAATATATTTAACAGATTGTTGTTATTCATTTAGATTTAAGCCTACCTTAGCCTAAAGTTTCAAGGAACATAGAGGTGCACCTCATTTGCACACTTGTTACATAGTTCACTTTATTGTGACTGCTATTACGTATAGTGTATGATTTTTCTAAATAAAAATAATTGGTGGATAAGGTCAAAGGCATCTAAAAATCAAATAAAAAGTCACAGCTGTTACTGAAAAATTAAATAAAATAGATTCATGGTAAGTAAGTAAGTAAATAATTTGTACCCCGCCCATCTTGCTGGGCTTCCCCAGCCACTCTGGGCAGCTTTCAACAGAATAAAACATCAAACATTAAGAACTTTCCTAAACAGGGCTGCCTTCAGATGTCTTCTAAAAGTCAGATAGTTGTTTATTTCCTTGACATCTGATGCGAGGGAAAGTAGGTATTTTTTTAAAAATAAAATAAAATAAAATCAGGAGTAGGGGACTTTCATCAGCCTGAAGGCCACATTCTCTCAGTCAAGGGAAAGCTCCCAGGGGGCAAATGTCAGTGGTGGGTGTGGCTGGATGGAAATGGGTGTGGTCAGAGGCAAAAGTCGGTAAAGCAAAGGGTGTGATGCCTACCTTTGTACAACAGGCTACCTTCCAACCATGCAAAAGTTGGAAGTTTCAGCACACTCACACCCATCTCTCCACCCAGGCAAGCAAGTTATTGTTACTGTTCAAGGACAGTAGTTCCAGCCAGGCAGAAGCTCTTGAGGATATGGAGCAGGGTCAGTGAGGGGTGCAGCCTGGGAGAGAGTCTCAAAAGCAGGATGGGAATACCTTGAGGGCCATCCTCAACCCTTGGACCCGAGGTTCCTCATCCTAGTTTTAGATCCTCTCTGTTGCCTCCTGGATTAGCTTGCATTGCTATACTAAACAGCTGCAACGTTAGTAAGAGATAAGGAAAGCGACTAAACCTGTGAGCTTAGCTTTCCTATAGGGGCTGGACAATAGCCAAAGCGCCGCAGCAAAACCATCCGCAGTCAGCGGTGTGTCTGTCTCCTTGCCTGAAGGGACGTTAGCATTAAAGTTATTAACTAGAGCAGTCAGCCTGGCAGTTGGCTATGCGAAGCAATTTATACCATTGTAAATGGATTAGCGAAATGTAATTTCTGTTAACGTTTCAGTTTCAATTATTTCAAATAGATGTTCAGTTAGAAATGCTAAGGAATTGTTTTGATGCTTTTTCTGGATGTAAACATTAAATATGCACATACTGTATAGCCTTTTCCTGTGTTTGTGCATTCCCATGTGTGTGTTTTCTCTTGTGTGGCTATTCTGTTGCGTGGTGATTTTTTGGGTGCTGCCCTCTCAAAAAGCGGCCCATTCTTGACAGTGGGAAGTAGAGGGGGGCAGATGATGCCTTTGAAAGATGCAGCACATTATACTAATCAGGGGAACGTATAGATTTGAAATGTCTCTAGGAGCAGAGGAAAGCCTGTGGCTGTTCTTATCCTACATGCTCAGCTGGTGTATTTTGACATGAAGAGCCTGGGGGTGTGCATGAGATACCAGGAGCGTGACTTCACCACAGTCTGTGTACAGGGAAAGAGAGAAAATGTTGCCTCTTGGAAGAGGCTCTCTGGATTTTCTTCAAGGATGGTTAATTAGTCCATGTCGCTACCAGCTCAGAAGGCATTAAACTATCTTAAAGGGATTTCAACAACCTCACCTGATTTCCTTTTTTTAAAAAAGCATGCTGCAATTAACCAATAAGGCATGACAAAGAATATGACCATCGGCACAGGATAATCACTTCCTTGGAGTAAAGCAGAAAATGAAGAACAGATGAGTACTTTGAATTCCCTAAGGGAGTGATTACCCCATGATAGCTGTAGCTACTGGAGAGGCCAGAGAGCTATTACAAATTGTTTTGCTTTCATGTAAAATATGTATTATTTAAGGGACTTAACTGTGTTCATTGCTAGCTGCCATTTTGCATTAGAACCAAAATGCAGCAGGGACCACTAAAACGCTTGAAAGTTCCCCATTAGGGCTGGGGGGGTTGGGTTCAGTTCCACTTCTTATTTTACAATCCTGCAACACTGGGTATGCAAACCTAAATGGGAGCAGGCAAGAGAAGTAAAGAAAGAAAGAGGTAAGGCCTCAAAATGGTACTTTAAAAGCTATATTTTATCAAATGATACAGTTCTTATCAAACACTGAAGAGCTGAACACATTTTGGCTGATGGTGGTCTTCTCTGGGAGCAATTAGGTTCCACTGCTAAGGTATTGCACTCATGGCAGCATCTCTCATCCTCTGGAAAAAAGGGGGTCTTCAAAACACACTGGACTTTTCAGAATTCTCTATGGACTGTATCATTGGAGAAGGGGCTTCTCAAAGATGGTGGCCTGGCTAAGGGATTCCCTTCCCTCTTAGATATGGCGGCAGCAACCTTGCTGTGTTTTAAGTGAAGGCTGAAGAATGGTTTCTTCACTCAGGCTTTTGATGACTATTTCCATGTGAACTTAGTTCCTTATGGTATTACCTGTGTATTTCTTCTGCTTACTATGGTTGTAATATCCGTTGTTAAGTTTGAATTTTAACTGCAGCCTTCTCCGTGATTGCTTTTGCAAATAATAAGTAACGAATATTTAAATTAAAATAAAGTTTGATTTTTAAAAATTAGGACCATTTGGAGGCCTCACCTCTTTCTTTCTTCCCTTCTTCGAATATGCAAACTTAGCACTTCTCAAAAATTCTATCCAAGACAGCATTTAAGGGGAGGAAGGATGTTCAAATAGCCCAGCAAGACATGCCAAAACACTGTCTCATTTGGAACTAGTTTAGTTATCACTGATTCAAAGGGTGGTGTATGCGAACAATGAGATATGTTGTGTGGGAACTGAACAGAAGAAACCTACCAGGACCAGGCAAACAAGAGCACACACTAAAAACCAATCTGCTTTTCTTTTTATTCCTGGTGCTCTTAAGGGGGAAAAAAAGTCAAAGTTATTTTCCCTCTTTTGGACATTTGCCTTCTATAATCATTCATATTTAAGAATGCTACCCATCTTCCAAAATCCATTTCAAATGTTTCAACTGACCATTGATTTCTATAAAATTATTAGTGACTATATTTCCATTTGGAAAAGGATTGTTAAATTGATGTAAATTTGTATCTAAGCAATGGGAGGAAGGATTAGAAATAGAAAATGATGAGATGGCAGGAGGAGAACTAAGGGATCAGACTAGATTAGAGATGAGGAACCTGTAGCCAGCCATATGTTGTTTGACTACAATTCCCATCAGTGCCAGCCAGCTTAGCCAGTGATCAGGAATGATGGGAGATGTAGTCTGGCAACATCTGGAGAGCTACCATTTCCCCATCCCTGGACTTGCTGAACTGTCCACAACATTCTACATACAGGACTCAGAAAGCAAATCTGGGAAACAGCCCACCAATCCCAGTGAAAGCTGGTGGTGCGTTTTATTTTGATTTTTGTTGCTAATATTAGTTATTGTATGTTTGAATTTGGTACTATTTACATACATTACATCTGCACTACCAGGTTATAGCTGTGGAAGGAGAAGTACAGATAGGGAAGTGCTCTGCTGAAAATTGACCCCCTCCTGCAGGGTAAAGTCTTGGGAAAGTACCATGGACAGCGCTGGAGACTGGCCATGGATGGAAATGCAAAAGCTGAACCAGCAAAGGAGCTTGCTTTTGTTATACCATAATAGTTTGCATAAAAGGCTGGCTTATGCCCTTTTCTCTCTGAACCTGTGCTGCCTTTGGGGGAGGGGAGCAGGGGGGAGGCTCACCATTTCCTCCTCTCCAAGACTGGTGCTCATGCCTGTTTCTTAGGCATCCTCTTGAGATGCAATGCTCTTGCAAACATTAGGCTCCTGGTTCCCAGTGGAATCGAGCCAGTGCTTTGTAATGGAGCTATCATTTTGCTTTAAATCTATTCCTTTATTCTTCTAACCTTCTGCAAGCTGAAGACTTGGTGGGGTTGGTTTGTCTGGAGGCTGTTTATCTTTTTCTGCGCTAGTACTGACAAGCCTCTTTAAAGTTGATATCTTCTTACTAAAATAAAATTATTTCTGATGGAGCCTTATTTCACATAATGCTGGCAAGAAGCTAAAACAAGCTAAATCTACTAAAGCAGCATTCTGGATGCATGAGCTGCTGGTGGAGCCAGTTACAACTTCTTTTCCTGGTTTGAGTTCAAATCATCTTCTTTTCCTCCCTCCCCTTATTATAAAGCATACAGTATTTGTATTTCTTTTTTATATATCACATTTTTGGAGTTCTGTGTTTGCAAGGAGGGAGGTTCCTATGAACATACACCAGCAAAGCCTCTGACTTTCAGCTGAACATGCATAGACTGTGGGGCACAGTCATTGGTGTGATCGTGCTCCACTCTCTTAAGTTTCTGAAAACAGGCTGTTTCTCACCTGGCCTAGGGGACGGGGCCCACACTCACCAGCCCCACTGAAGAGGCTCCTCATGAGGCCGGAGGAACATCGCCCAGCTATTGTTTTATTGATTTAATATGCTGTACACCGCTTTGAGGTTTTTATTTAAAATATAAAGTGGTATAGAAATTAAATAAATAACATAACATGATGTTGAGAGGTCTTCATCTTGCCAATATCAGTTTCTTACTATTAATCTGTATCCCACCTTTTCCTGTTGCTGGGGACAGCACTTGCTAGGCTATCTTTTGTATATTATGTTTTCTCAAAATAAATACACTTTCTTTCTTTTTTAAAAAATACAGATTTCTAGATCTCAAGGCTGTGAAAGTGTGTGAGCAATGCTGCTGAATTCTCAGAATTTTCAAGTGAGGTTTTCTACTAGTTGCAGACAAAGCATCAGTGCTTGTATAGCTTTTTGCCTTGCTCCCAGCTATCAGACGTATAGTACATTATGCAAAATAAGCAAGTCTATGCCAATGTGCCTAATCTGCAACATTAGTACAGGTTACAGATTTCAGCTTTTGTCACACAGCTGAGGCTACCTTAGTGCTGTCTAGTTATTTCTTGATTAGTACAGTAGCCCCATGAAAATTTTGCTTAAACATAAGGGTTGTGAAAAGGTAAACACACAGACTTGAGAGAAAGAGAATGGTTCAGATTTTTCACAATCTTTAATATGCATGGAGGGAAATTAGAGCAAGAATGACAACAGCAGGGAGATTGCATTTCTTGAAAACCCACCATTATTTATTCAGTAATGAAATTGCAAACATGATTCTTTGTTTTCTCAGTTGTACATTCTTTCATTTTGGCACACATGCAGTCACAGGGCATTATTATTTTCCTTTGTGATGCTTAAGCATATACATCTTATTATTGATTTTTTTAAAAAAGTATATTTAAAAATGAGGGACACACCAGTCTGGGATATACTGTGTTTAATTAATAGTGCTTAATGATGTGGGATGTCTAGATGACCTTTTGAGTTCAATCTTCAAAAGTATTTGATTATCTAAACCAATATCCTGCATTATTCATTCAATATCATGCACTATTCATTCAATGTGTTACCGATCGGTTTCTAGTTCCATCGTTTGTAAGGTTTGCAAAATGATTAGTTATTTCTGCATTTAATCCACCACACTGTATTCTTTTAATGCTTTCATAATGATGCTATTCCTCTAGGAAGTTCATTAATTTCATTTTCAGTGAGCTTTAGAAACAGCAGCTGACCATTAGTGCTCATGGTCCAGCAACTGAGTTTTAAAATAGGATCATGTGATGTACCACCATAACATGTCTCTTATTCCAAAAACTTTTGCTATTCCCATCTGTCTTAGCCTCAAGAAGCCAGATGGCTACTAACGTGGTCACATTCATTTTGGCAATAAGGTGGAGACTGGTAGGTACTGGGCCTCACTGGGTCTTCAAGTGATTAAAACTATAATATTAATACACATACCCCACACACCTTGCTTGGGAGTAAGCCCCATTGAATTTAGTAGAACTTACTTCTTAGTAGATGTGGTTAGGATTGTGCAGCCAGTTTTTAAGAAAACAGTGAATGACTGCCAACTAGTTATTTGAGAGATAACTAGGTCAAGAACAAGAGGTCTCAGACTGTAGCTAGGGAAAGAGACTAATCCATCCAAGATTTGAGGCAGAATTTCTGTCACACACAGTGGCTAGATCTGCCAACTAAAGCAGCAGGAGAAAAAAGAGAAAGTATTAAACTAGTTCAAAGAGGATTTAGGCAAATTGCATAAAGAGGGAGTACCAAGCCATCACTTGGTAGACTTTAAAGTTAGATACTAATTATATCCACTGATTTAATAAGAAACACATAGTCATAAGCAAAAGTGAGAAACCAGCCAAACCAAAAACTCCAAAAGTTAATGAGGCCAGGTTTCTGTGGGCATCTTTCAGCCCTTTATGGGTCCTCTGTGCCCATTACATGGCCTTTCTAAACTAGGTGCCCTCTCCAGATGTTTTGGGCTCCAACTCCCACCATCCCAGACCATTTGCCATGCTGGCTGGGGCTGATGTGAGTTGGTCCAAAACATCTGGAAGTCATCAGGTTGGAGGAGGCTGTTCTAAATAAAAGGAACACTTTCGAAAATCAATCCTGGCACATCACTTTGAAGCATGATAGTTTAATCTCTAAATACACCTTGATAGTACATCATCTACTGGAATGTGAAGCATATTTAGACACTATCAACTTCCTGGACTCAAATCAGTTTCACTTTTAGCCTGGGCATGATACAAATTAATTGTCTGTGGGCTTTGGCCTCCATTGCCACATAGAGCTCAGTAGTAGCAATTGGAGCATATTGATCCTCTTTGCCCTTTCTGCAGATTATACGTACTGTATTAAGTAGTAAACGTGTTGGGAGTTATATATTGTCATCAATGCATCAGAGAGCAGACACCAGTGAAATACACATTACATTTGTTAGTTGTTAAAGTGCCTCAAGACTTAGTGCTGCATAAGTAAGCACAATGCAAATCTAATGTATTATTGACTCCTTAGAGGAAAGTAACTTTTCTATCCATGTGACGATAGAATCGTAGAATTGGAAAGGGTCATCTAGTCCAATCCCCTGCAATGCAGGAATCTTTTGCCCAACTTGGGGCTTGAACCTAAGACCGTGAGATGAAGAGCCTCATGCTCTACCTACTGAGCTATCCTGAGTTCTAATATGCATGCACACTACAGTACAGCCCTATACAGATCTGCACAGAAGCACCGTTGATTTTAATGAGAACTACTTCCATGTAAGTGTGCATAAGATTGCAGCCGTAATCAACATTTTAATCTTGGTTTGGAATGTGGCACAATATTATTTTTAGCTAGTCGCATCATCATCATCAATGGCCCATTTTTCAGGATACAAATTCTTCCATGGCAGCTTATAAGTCAGGCATAGGCAAACTTGGCCTTCCAGATGTTTTGGGACTACAACTCCCATCATCCCTAGCTAACAGCACCAGTGGTCAGGGATGATGGGAATTGTAGTCTCAAACCATCTGGAGGGCCGAGTTTGCCTATGCCTGTTTTAAGTGCTCAAAATCAAACATCAAAATATATTTTTAAATTCACATATACAAGGTCAATAGGATCCTTTCCCCCAGGGAAACTGGTGGTATAGCCCTGTGACGAGTGGGGACAGCTAGAGTTCTGCTAGAGCAGACAGTAAGAAAGTGGGTGGGGAATGGTTTTCAGCCCAAAGGGTTTTTTTTGGGGGGGGGGTCACATGCCACATGGTGGAAGGAGCTAGAGGCAAAAGTGGGCAAAGCAATGAATGCAAACTCCACTTTTGTATGGTGGGCTGGCTCCTACACATACTCACACACCCATCTCTGCCATCCATCCAGACAAGCGATTGTCGCCATCAGAGTTCAAGCGCACATTCCAGCCAGGTACAAACACTCAAGGTGGCTGTGACACTTATGGAAAGTGGATGTTGCTAGGGAGAAAGACAGCATGTCTAAGGAAGATTCCCAAGAGCCAGAGAGAGAGGGATGGTGGACCACATTTGTCCCCTGGGTTTACAGTTCCCTCCCCCTGCTTTATGGACAAAATCAAGCAGACCAAAGCTATACGCATTGATCTGTGGACATAAGCTTTATTTTATTTATTTATTTATTTATTTATTTACGGCTATTAGCCCATAAAGTATGTACAAACATAAAAGCACAGAGGCATAAAAACTAATATATTCGGCACCAGAAGGTGAACACCATGATGCAGGGGTGGGACATTGAGCAGAGCCAGATAACAGCTTGGGGCCCGGAGAGCTCCAAGGGACGGATCCCTGAAAAGGAGAACTAAAGACGGGATCCGACATGCACTCTCTTCAAAACTGTCCGATTAGTTTTTGATGTTGTTGTTTTTGGTGGTGTTCGTGTGTGAGATAACTGCATTCAGGAATCTCGCCACCTGCAGAGTTACAGAAGGATCTGTATCCTGCAAAAGTAGTGCGGCATGTGACTCAGCAGGCCTGCCAACCAAGCGCAGTAAAGCAGGGCCCAGGAATTTAGTCCTGGCTATGCTATGTCGGGGACAGTTGAACATTATATGTGAGAGAGAATCAACAGTTTTCCCGTCACACACGCATAGTGGAGACACCAAACCCTTGGAAAATCTGTGGCTCAGCAGGTTCGATGGAAAGACATTGAACCTTGCACGAATAAATGCATGTCGGTGTGGTACAGATGAAAGAGATGACATGTATGATGGAAGGCCAAGTGGTGAGGTTATTCCGTGATACCTGGGGGAGCAGACACCCTCACCCCGGCGAGGTTGTGTTGATTTTCAATGTCTGCTAATCTCTGCTCAATAAGTCTTTTGGCTGAGCGTAAGTTCATCTTTAAGGAGTCCGCTGGGGAAATTCCGATGCTCAGAAGTTTGGCATGGATTTTTCCTACCCATGGATTGACAAAGTCGTCCCGCCAGAGGCACTGAAATAGGTAATGGTTGGGAAGCCTGTGCCAGCTGGACAGCCAATAGCCAAAGACTCGCTTCCAGATGACCGTCTCCAATGATGCAATCCTTAACTCCAGACGTATGGCTGCGTTGCTCACACACATGGGGAGTTTCAGGAGGCGACGGAGAAACTGATTCTGCAATGTCCCCAACGATGTTAAATTGGATCCTGGGGCCCAGAGCGGGGCAGCATAACAGAGGGTGGAAACCACTTTTGCATGGTACAATGCAGAGATGGGGAGGCCCGCGCAAAATTGGAGATAATATTTTGTTTAGTATCTGCGTTAAGACTTAATTTAATTGGACTCATCAGCTAGGACGACCAATAGATTATCTTCTTCCAATAAGGTGGACAGATGCAAATTTGAGAGTTATTCCCATAATCCACTGCGTATGAAATCTACATGCTGGAGCCAAGCTGGAGCCAAGCACGAACCAGCATCAAAGATGTTGCCTTCCGTTGTGCGTATGTGAGTGTTTTAATATGAAACAAAGTAAAGCCTAGCGAACTCAATATATTTCAACTTCGTTTCAGGAATGTTGAAGCATGCAATATTTATTTCTGCTGAGATCAAACAAAAGGCACGGTTTTAAATCAATATTTTGACATTAAATTATCATAATGTTTCAGAAATTAAGCCACTTCAAAAAGGTTTCATGGAAATGAAAGAGTCTCGTATTTTGAACTGTTGCTTAAAAATGAAACGAAACATTGTGGTAAGACCTTTAGGTAGGGATTGTTGGTTTCCCCCCCTCCTGGAAAGAATAGGTGTTTTCTTCAGCCTTATTTTGATGAAATCTTTTTTTTTTTTCCCAGGGAGGGACATTCTCTTTGGGAAAAGGTGCTCAAATAATAGGCAAATGAGCTGAATAGCAATTATAGTAAAAAAAATAAAAATCAGCCTTTGGGCCACTGCGTGGGGGAAACAGGTAGGATGGGGTACATAGATGGAAGGTGCACAACTTCCCAAGTCATGGTAAGTTGATGCTATAAGAACAGGTGGAGGTGCACCTCTTTCTGCAGGCCTTTGAGACAGATGAGATGCACTGGGATGTTTGTGCTTTGCTGCTACCCTTTTAATTGTTATTTTTGGATTTTGGTTGTTTATTCTCTTTCAATTTTTATGGTTTAAGTTTGATTTTGAAGTTTACGTACCTCTTCTCTAGGCAAATCATATTTTTTTAATAAATAAATTTAACAAATCTGTGATAAATCAAAGTTGAAGAAGGATCACAGGTAAGTGCAAGAGATCGTGGTGGAGTTGAATCAAAGAGAACATAGCTCATTGTTGATGGGCATGCTTTCTGGGTAGAAGGTTCAAGATTTCATCCATTGCCTCTCAGTTGTGTATGCTAAAGGAGTTGCTAAAGACCTGTGCCTGAAACCATGATGAGCTCCTGCAACCTTCCCCAACCTCATGCCCTTGAGATGTATTGGACTACAGCTCCCATCATCTATGACCATTGGCCATGTGGGTTGAGGCTGATTGGCATTGTAGTCCAACAATATCTGGAGGGCGAAGGTTAGGGAATGCTGTTCTAGGGAGTTTCATTTGTTCATTTGAAAACTGAAAAGGTCCCAAAGAATGTAAAGAACCATACATTCAATATAAAGAAGGCAAATATGATAAGGGGACACACACAAAAACCTTCCGTTGAACATGACAGGGTAAACAATGAAGGGATAACAGAAGAGTGTGATGCGATGAAAATTAGAGGCAAAGAGAATAAAATAGGAAACTGAATGCAGAAATAAAGGAGCGGCTTGAGGTGATAAGGACAGTATGAAGATGATAATTACAATAATCCTGCCATATACTTTGGTGTTGTTGGAACTGGAGGAGATGGTCATTAGCACCGTCCTCTAGGAGGAATGCTGCTTCCTCCAAGTCAATCTCTTCCCCTGAATATGAGGACTCCTCAGAATAAATGTTGCCAGTACACATCCACTATTGACCATTCTGCAATATGTATGAATGGAGGTATGAATAAACAAACCACTAAATGAAGGTATGAATGAATGCAGGTGTGAGTAAATGAAGGAATGCAAGTTTTAATAAGCAAACAAACAACTAAATGAAGTTCTGTATTAATATATGTATGTAGGATGACATGAATGAATAAATGAATGCTTTGAATGGGTAGTCAGGGCCTTCTGAGTGATGACGGCCCTCCGTTCAGTTGATGGACTGGCCCACCTTGATGTACTCCTCAGTTTAACGGGCAGCACCACTGTGCTCTCGAATGCACTGTATCAAATCTAAGTCAACAGAACAATATACTATACATCCTTTTGGTGTGTGTTCCTTCTCTAATTTAATTTTTGTGTGCTCTTGCTGCTCCTTCCATCTGTTCAGTAAAACTCCATATATTTAGAACAAAACTATAAACAAATTGTTGGTTCTACATCTATTATTTTTTGGTCTTTATTACCTTTAATGTAAATAATAAATCCAATCCATTTTCTCCGCTTTGATTGTAGCTGCAACTTCTATAGATCTCTTGAGATCAACAAATACAGTATAAAGTGTTATATTTTTAGTTCTAAAATGTGCAAGAATACACGCAACATATTATAATAATGTGCTACACCAGGTTACAGCAAGTTACATTGTATTTAAGCAACTACTTTATTCTACCATCTGGTGCATAATGAGCTCTTAGACAAATGTGAGGCTGAGCTCTGACTAAAAGCTGTGCATAATCACCAAGGCTATCCTTTTTTAAGGGCCTTTTCACACTTACCATTTATAGTGGTATAGTTGCTGTTGATCCAATATTTTTTAGAGTGAATATGCCATCAATTGTATGCACCTTTAGTCACATGCAGCTGTTATTGGAGAGCGAGTGTGGGGTTTTCCTCTCCAGACTAATGTTTGGTTGTGTCCAATGGCTGATCCCTTATGTATCAATGCAGTCTTCCAGAGAATAAACATTGATGTTATGAGCATAGGGGGGGTAGAACCTTTGCAGCTTCTTGTGTATGTGCTCAATGTCTAGTATTCTGGAATTCTAATCTTGTGGGAGTATAGGAAATTAAAAGAGGAAACGTTTTGCATGCAGCTAATGACTGTTGCCCTAGGAAGTACTTTGACCCTCATCTCTATCTGCCATATCACTCCTCCAAACGGAGAGCTTGCACCGGTCAGAGGGAAGTCGCATGAAACAGGCATCTCCAAAACCACACCTAACAGTCCTCAGCAAACTTGCCGAGCAAAGGAAGGCATTGAGGATCTGACAAAAATGCCATTCCTGCCTTTCTCTTGCTCCAGTGTCCCATGAGCAGAGTTCTCATCATGAAAACTTTGGGCATTTGACTGTGATATTTTCCATGAGTTGGACCCAGAGTCCACTCTGGATTAACATTTCAGAAAAGTGACCCAAAAAAGGCTGATTTTTCCCTACTCCCCTGCCCTAGAAAACCGGTCTTTCTTTTTACATTTTAATCTGTCCAAATAGCCAGTTGCCTCCTGAAAATTAAAGTGACAGAACATGAAAAATGACTGTCATTTAAAACGAAGAGTTGCTGAAATGCTAAGTTCATTTATGTGTTAAAAAGATTAAACGGATTAAACCGATTTTACTCCTTTGCGCATGGGAGAAGTTTCTCCAGAAGGATATTAAATATGCATTTTAGACACAGCTTGCTTAGAACTGTGTGAATGCCTGTGAATGCATTTCCTGGAAATTTCACCTCTTCTGATTTGGGCTCTGGCCTTGTCAAAATCCATTTTCAGTGGACTTCAGCACACAGTCTCTACAGTGCTCTCTCATTTCCTATCCCTTTGAGGCAATTGCTGATCCTTCTCACCAAAGTTGTTCAAACCTACTCTTATAAAGGTCAGTTCCTAGCTCCAGGCAGACTCCTCACAGAGTAACAAAAGAACATCCATAAAAGATCTGCATTCTGCAGTGTCATAGGGACATGAGACAACGTGTGAAACCAATACCTTAGAAAGTGTCTTTCCATTTTGTTTTCAAGAAGAGCTTTTAAGATTTGTAGCACTAGGTAAAAACAGTGGCCAACAGGATGGTTCAACATGTGCACTCACATATGAATGAGTCTAACTGAACTCAGTGCAGATTACTTCCGAGTAAATTTTCCTCAGATTGGATTTTAAGGTTGGTAGAGCATGAGACTCTTAATCCTAGGGTCATTCGTTTAAGCCCCATACCGGGCAAAAGATTATTGCATTGCAGGGGGTTGGACTAGATGACCCTCATGGTACCTTCCAACTCTACAATTCTATAATCAGCCAAAACTAGGTGGATATCATGGTCTAGTTGGACACAGAGGAATGGTGAGAGCAACCAGCTGGAGAACCACCAAGGGAAGAAGACTTGGTGTGGTGGTGGGATAACGACGAGGAGAAGACTGGGACTTAGTGAGCTGGGAGAGTTGGTGGCAGAGAGAAGTCCAGAATCAGAGACAGAAGTTGAAGCATGTGAGTAGGAGAAGGGAGGCCAAGAGATGAGGCAGCCTGATAAAGAGTCACAGGTGTCTCCTCCTCCTGCCATGGTAAGCAACCCTCCCCATTTGTCTCCCAGAACTAGGAGAGGGCTGAAACGGGTGGAGCAGTGGCAGGCTGCACACAGTCACAGTCTCAAATTGCTTGGAGAGGAGGGGACTTAGAAGGTTGTGGTCTTTCAGTCTTGGCAAGCTATCCATGGGGTAAGACCGACCGGGGGGGGGTGCGGCTGTACTCATTAGGCCTAACCCTGAGCCAAGGCTGTGAAGGCTGTGTTTTTCCAACTTTGAATGGTGTGATTTACTGCTGGCTTGTACTTTGATAGCAAAGGCCCTTTTAGCCACAGCCATTTCCTGGACACGCAGCAGCAATGCTGGCCCCAGGAGCATCCCCAAACCGCAAACCTGGCCCTGTAGAGGGAATGCAATCCCAACGAGAACAGGACATCCTTTCAGTCTCACTAAGCAAATTCATCTGATATACAACACGAGAGTTTTGACTATCATAGCTCACCCCAAAAAGATCCTGAGAATTGTCATTTGGTGAGGGGTAGCAACAGCTCTCTGTTAGAAATCCTTGGCAAAACTAGAATTCCCAGGGTTCCCTGGGGGGAAGAAAATGACTATTGAGGTAGT